TGTATATCTTGCCGGGCTTTAGAATACGTGATCGGCGCAACCTTAATCAATGGATGTTGTCACTGATGATGTCATCATTTGACGCCACCGTTCGCTTTGTCATGATGTCACACACTCTGGCGATCTGTGACGCCGTGATTTGGGGCAATCTGGCACGCCGACGCTTTGGTTCAATTTTTGCGTTCGTTCCGACACTCTCACTAAGTATTTGATAAGCATTTGAGAGTATTTTAGTTTGAGGCTCTTGCTCTAAAGATTAAATACTCATTTAGGTAGAGGAAGCCCTGGCTGTTTCTATAGTGTGTCATGCTGTTTGCACGACACACTGCATCAACGAGCGCATTCGATATGGTTCCATTTTTGCGCTCGTTCAGACACTTTCACTAAGTATTTGATAAGCATTTAAAAGTATTTTATTTTTAGGGCTCTTGCTCTAAAGATTAAATTCTCATTTAGGTAGAGGAAGCCCTGGCTGTTTCTATAGTGTGTCATGCTATTTGCACGACATACTGCATCAACGAGCGCATTCGATATGGTGCCATCCGAAGAATTAGTAATATCCACAAAAGGGCGCATGCATAAAGCGAGCGCGCCTTCCCGCTTTTTTTCCGCTCTCTCTCAGCCGGCGCGATTGCAGTTTCCGTTCGACATAAACTGAGCTAGTGGGAAAGAGAGGATCAAACAAAATATCTTTCCACGGATTCATTGCGACACAAGGTGGCGAGAACTTTCCTCCACTTCCCGTACAATGTATCGACCCGATAAACAAGCAGAGAACTCTTTTCACAATGTGGCACTGGATGGCGCTACTAACTACCCCCATTTCAAGTCCCTACATTCATAGTTCTTGGTGGAACTCACTCGCGATGCGCTTGACGCAGGAGTCAGGAGTGGTTGAAGGAGCCATGCCTGAGATGGCAGCACCTGCCAAGCCAAAGCCCACGAGTGAGCGCCGCTTCGTGAAGAAAGGCGCAGCCAGGCGATTGAGATGGGACTGGCGTACGCAGGTACATGCATGAAGGCGTTGAATAACAGAGACTCGATCAACTTTTGATACATATTCAACCTAAAAAAAAGCGCATGATATCACAAGAAGGTATGTACTCTGGTAAAACTCGTTCTTGTTTCAGTGTGTTCAACAAGCTTGAAATAAATGTTTGCGCGAAATGACTAACGTTGTGCTTTTCCCTCTGGCCTCACTTGTGAACGCGCCCTTTTTCGCGTAACTATTTCATTTCAAACAAGAAGGAAGTTTGTCATTCCCCGACTTGCTTTTTGTATCCATGTTTGCACGTTTTCTCTTTTAGAATGAATGAAAGGTGACTTACCTCTCAACCCCCCCAAATAATAAAAAAGAAAAGATTTGTGGCTAGGCCACTCGTCAGCTAACTCCTTAGTATTCGTAATGTCCATAGACTGTCGCACCACCTGGCGTATTATTTTTGGGTGGCGGGCAGACAAATTGTAAAGTACTAGGGCTAAGGTGAGTAACATCGCTGAAGGGCAAAAGGGATGACCACGTTTGTCTTTTTCCCGGCTATTTTTTTTTCCAAAGCCGGTTGCATATTTTTGCATTAAAAGCAAATCGAAGCGCATTAGCACATTTATTTCCAATTATTCACGTGGTTTGACATGTCAGCAGATTAGGTGAACGAAACTATATGTATATAAAAAGAGCGCGATCCTCGCTCAGTGCCAGCCAGAGGGGCCAAATGCGTTGTGAAGGAACGCATACCGTGCAAAGCTAAGTATACGATGAAGTCAGCGTAGGAGAAGGTGACTCGCATTATTTATTTTAATGTTTCGACGTTTGTGTCTTGCTCTCTCTCAATCGTTATAAATAAAAAAATAAAGTGGCCTCTAAAACAGCTTGTCATCACCTTGAAGATTTCCTTCCGAAACAAGTTCACAAAGTGACACGTTTTACAAAGGTGTCTTGCATAATTCCTGTATGTACCTAGTCCTGTAAAGTTACTTCTTTTTATTTTATATTCCTTCAGAAACAAGTTCACAAAGTGACGCGTTTTACAAAGGTGTCTTGCATAATCCCTGTATGTATCTAGTCCTGTAAATTACTTCTTTTTATTTTCTACTCACTTGTGTCTATTACATATCCATTTATGGCTGCACCGGTCTAGCCGAAAGTGTGGCAACATCTATGTTCGCGCTGCACCACGCAACAAGAAAAAAAAAAGAAGAATGTCCAGCGTGTTAAACCACCCGCCTTTCTGATAGACATATTCCATAGGATACCCAGCGATGCGCCGCTCAGTTGCGCAACAACATCATTTCTGCAATAATGGCAAGTAAGCGCAGAGCCCGTTGTAATATTGATATAGGGAACTTCTTTGGGCATATTTATATTTTAATTACTTATCGTTCTTCTATTTTTGTTCATTACGCGATGACTTGCTCCAAGTTGGTTCTTTTTTTTGTGTGTGACGGTGTACGCAGTTTTCTGACGTACTCCTTTTCGGAGCTTCATTTTTTCTGGAGCTGTGACAGTAAAAGGTAACCCAAATCAGACAGCTTTTTTGTGTGTGTGTGTGTGTGTGTGTGTGTGTGTGTGTGAAAAGAGATGCGATCGTGCTTGTAATAATCGCGAGGTGCACGTTTCGGTCAACTGCCAAGTGTAACAAGCCTAAACAGTGTCGTCTATAGGCGGTGTAAAATAGCTCGGACTCTGTAAACTCGATCAGCGAAGCGATTTCGTCACACTCAGTTCACAGCCGCTGTCCCGTTACTTATTTACGGCGATCAAATTTGGCGCGCTAGGCTTCCACCGTGGTTGCCCCCTGCACACGGCCAACCTGGTTACGCCGTTTGACGATGAAACACATACCGGGATAAACGCAGGGCTGCAGTCACCCGTGTAGTTGTTTTTCAATTTGTTGACCATGGGTACCATACTTACATTTCAGGAACACCCAGCCGATTGGGGATCACTGGGAGAGACATAAGTATGCTGTTGCAGATGATGACGATGGTCATGGTACCAGGTAGTGCCGGTGTCTACGAGGCGGCGTCAGGACAAATATTTGGCAAAAGCAATCAGATCGCGGAATGATTGCACAATCATCAATGTTTCTTCGCTTTTGGGAGATCAGGTTCGCGTTGTCTCATGCATGCATCTATAAGCGTGCGTATGGTTCCGCTCCATGGCATGGGGAGGGGGGCGCCTTCTCCATATCATGTCAAACGTATGGAACTGGCTTCGCCCCCCTCTCACCCACCCCCCGAGAACATGCCTATACATACGTCTATAAGTAAGTGCGTTTCGAATCGATTACAGCATGCATGTCAGGCAAGTATATAACTATTCCGCATACGTGTACAACGGGGGGGGGGGGGGGGGTAGTCAAAACTTCGCAGGCTACTATTCCACGTGATCATATAGGGTAGCTTCAGAACCTTTGACGCCCCGCCGTGGTGGTCTTGTGGCTAAGGTACTCGGCTGCTGACCAGCAAATCACGGGATCGAATCCCGGCTAAGGCGGCTGCATTTTCGATGGAGGCGAAAATGCTGTAGGGCCCGTGTGCTCAGATTTGGGTGCACGTTAAAGAGCCCCAGGTGGTCAAAATTTACGAAGCCTTCCACTATTAGTATTCCTTTTTCAAAGCTAGGGTTGTTTTTGCCCGAACGAGACGTTACTAATAATATGGCGTGTGGTTTATAATTTTGGTGCTAAAATACTCGCACTTTACGTAACTCGGCATTAAAAGTCGCCTAAGGACACGTGGATATGTAGACTTTAACTTGAGAATAGAAGTTGATGTCTGCATATACGTATCACGCGCTAGCTATAATATTGCTGATATGGCGCATCATTTCAACAATACAACTAGTTAACGCAAATAGTGAGTTTTCGAATAGGGGCCCCAAAAGTTTATGGACGTATTGGGTCAAGCAGGAGCGATGAGTTTTCGAACAAGTTTTGTGGCGCTTAGGACACTCTTTATATTCTATGTCACTCTAGTCTTGGCCGACAGCCGTAACTACAGTGGGTGCCGTCACGTTTGTCTGACCCAAAACTTTTGGGGCGAGCTTTGGGGCTCCCGCTGAATTCGACAAATAGGGTCGGTTTGGGTTTTGCGCATGTACAGTGGCCTTGACGCTATTTTCGGGGCCCTAAAAGTGTCGAAAACTTTTTATTGTTGCATTACGCTTCTTCAATCAAAGAACCGGTTTTTTCTTTGCAGAAACATTATCTTTTGCTGTCAATTTAAAGAGAAAGCCGGGCTTCCTCTCCCACTCACTGTGCTTGAAAGATAATGCCAAATGAAGTAAGACCATATTTCATTGGCTAGTTTCTCAATTTCAGTTGGATCGAGGCTTCTTGCGTGACAAGCACAAAAAAAAAAAAGAGAAAGAGAAGGCCGAAAAAAAAATTCACTACAGAGCAGCGACGCTGCACAAGAACAGTCGTTGATTTACATCTACGGAGCCTCCTGATGCAGCGAATGACGAGGACACAGAATTTTCCTTGCCATCTTAGCTCGGTCATGCCGCGGCACTTTTACGCCTCTTTGCCTTTTGCTTATTTGTCGCAGTTGTCTTTTATTATTTGCATTTCCAGGTCGTAAAGGCGTCATCGTCTGGATGCACAAAGAAAAGAATGCAGCCGAGCGGTACGGAAGCGGAATGAAGATGAATGATGGTGCACGTACGGTGCGGTGCGCTCGCCGGCGAGAGCGTCCGCAGCCGTGCCGAAGCATGCGTAAGGAGCAACTCCGCAGCGTTGCGGCGGCGCGTGGAGCACGCGCTGGCAGCGCCGGCGACGGCAGATCCGCCGATGAACCGGCCGTTTCGTCGGCGCTGCTTGCGTTGACGTCACCGCAACTCCGCCAATGGTGGCGAGGCTGGGTCCAACCACTTTTTCTCTCTCGAGGGGAGAACGGCAGTGACTGCACCTTCACAAACGGCTGCTTTATCGTAATAACTGATAGCAGTTTCGATGAAATGACCCTAATTAGAAACATAAACGTTTCTATAACAGTAATAATGAAATAATTAAGGTTGAATTTTTAGTGAAAGGTGTAAAATTGGTGTTTGTTGCCGGACTTCCTCAAAAAAACACCCCTAGTGGTTGAAAGTCGGGAAGCTCCCTGGGACCTCAGCTGATATTGGAGCGATGGGCGCACAAGCTGTGGATTACCGGCTCGGATACGCGATGGGGACGGAGTGCTCGTGAGCGGGCGATCGAAGGCGTACCGTCTTCCTTTGTCTGACTGTCCAACGATCGGAACCCTCCCCGGAAACGTACTGGGAGCTTCCTCAATCCCCAAGTACCAGGATTTCAAGCTGAATGTGAAGCGAGTGTTGTGCGGCCAGTGCCAAGCTTTCGCTGTGCGAGGCTCTCCCGCGTCGTCTGCTGTCAGGTGGAAAATTTTCGGTTGTTCGCAACCGACACATAAAAGCGACGTCTGCTGCCGCCCTTTTCCGTGCTTCTCACTCATCAGGCCCTTGTTGAAATGCTCAGTTATCTGACGCATAAGCTCCGGACACCAGAACTGAATGGGAGTAACTCATTTCACACGAAGGTAAGCCCGCCCGTCTCATTTTTGTTCCCTCGACGTCGGGCTGCCGCTGGGAGCCGGCGCCGGTGCTAGGCCTAACCATCCTTAAGAGTCATGGCTGACAGGTAGACTTTCTGACCGGATTAACCTACCTAGATTATTCGGGTCGGCTTAATTTACCTTGCACTCAGTGCAGCGATGTTTCTGAAGTAATCGTAATTAGTAATCGAGCTGTCTGCGCTGATGCGTGTTGCATTAGGTTTGGGTTGGTCGTGGGGTGTCCTTCTCGGTTAACCGGTATTTTCATGTCTGCGACGTTGGAGCTATCGGTTACCGAATTTGTTTTTTCTTCTCATACCTGGTTTAAAAGCTTTCGACCCTCATTGGCGGGGTCACCGAGACATCGCGTAATTTTTTTTTACAGGTCGGCCGTGATGTGTGCGCAAACAGACCGCGGCAATCCCATCCGCCCTTTGTGTTAAGAATCGCCGACGTTGCCGGCTAGCTCAATAGTCAACGTTGGATTTCGGCGCTTCTCTGAGCCGAGTAAACGCTCTAGGTGAACGGATAAATTATTTCTGCACATACCAAAATTATGTATCGGGGAGTTGGTCTCGTGTCCGACTGTGGTCGAATTTTCGACGGAGGCGATATTTGGAGGCCCGTACACTTGCATTTAAAAGAGCGTTAAAAGACCACCACTGAAATTTCCGGAGCCCTCCACTGCGGCGTCTCTCATAACTGTAATCGTGTTTTGGGAACGCTATGTCCCTACAGTTCGGAAATACTTCTGGCTGATCGCCGGTCTTTGAAATATTTGCAGCGTGTGCCAACGCCAAACAACGCTCGTTGGCCGGGTTGCCGCCGTAGCAACTTTCCGTGTCTTTAGGGCACGTATACTCACCGAAAATCCTCGGCTCCCTGTTCGAAATATTCGTGTAGTCCAGGTCGCTGTGTACGTAACTCGTTCTCGGCATTGTTTTTTCCCTAACAACAATTCCGGACTGTCTCTGGCGGGCTTTTTGCTCAATCGCACTTTTTGGCGTCTGGGTACGTAATTCTGCGCTACAGCTAGCCTAGCGTACGACAGACTCGCGCGCGCATGGTGAGGTTGCGCAGAAAGAACGAAATTTCTAGTCGGCTGACCGTTCTGTCGTCGTTTTTACTGCACTCGTTACGCGAGCACTGGCTCCGTATTTTTGTTAGCGCTTTATTTCCGCGCGTGTTATTCTTCGCTTTATGCGTGCGCTGCCTTGCTTTTGTGCATGCTTGTATGAGCGTGGTGCGGCTACAAATTGACCGGCGTCGTAGCACATGGGGCTCAGTCTGTAGGCGGCCGTCGGCGGGTTCGCTCCGACTGCTCTTAGCCCCAGGGGCCTCGTCTCTTGCCTTCACCGTTCGGTGGTCCTTGTCGGCGAGGCCGCGGTGGACTTGGCGTCGTCGGTGATGTGATGTGGCGGGACTTGACCGTTTCCGCGCTGTGCCCTCGATTTGTCGCCTCCTAGCAGCCACCCCTCCGCCGTACCGGCCCGTTTTCGATCCCGCACTCCTACCTTACAACATGGTATGGCCTTTCCGACATACTATGTGACTTCGCTTCTACGGTGGTTACGGGGCTCGACTGCTAGCCCGCAGGTCGGGGGATCGAATCCCGGCCTCGGCGGCCGCTTTCGCGTGGTGCGAGAAAGTGATTGAGGCCAGTCTACGTAGATTTAGTTGCTCGTCAAAGAGCCCCAGGGTATCGAAACTTCTGGAGCCCTCCACTACGGCACCTCTCATAATCAGTATCGTAGTCTGGCGATGGTAAAACCGCATCAGTTATTATTATTATTATTATTATTATTATTATTATTATTATTATTATTATTATTATTATTATTATTATTGTTATTGAATCCCTTTCCGTCGCTGGCTCTTGCGTTTTTGTTGAAGCGCCTCTGCTACGTTCTTGCCTTTCGTCGGGTACAGGTTGTTTCTTCTAGCAACACTCATCGCACTCTTAGATTTTCCTACGGGATATGTATGCATGCTCATCACACGCAGACAATAAGAGTTTATTCATCGGATGTTTGTTGTTAGGTAACTTACACGAGTTCATTTTTTTTTTATCCCCTCATTTGCGCCAGTGATTGAAAATGTCATGACTGGTCGCGGTCGTACCGCAGTCGATTTTGCACTACCCCGTTTAGAACATGAAAGAAAAGCATTTAGCGATCGCTTGCACTTGTCTTTCACATTTATTCGAAAATTTCGGAGGTGAGCAGCTTGCTTTCGTTTGTTTGTTCAGCCGCTCCGAAGGTGAAAACAAAGTGAAACTTAATCCCGCGTAGGGTGGGGATAACATTACTCTCCTCGTTGCTCTTCCTTCTTCTTTTTTTTTCTCTGCTTACTTTTCGTCCCGCTGAAAGGTCATCGCATCATGCCAGGGGACGACGGCGTTATCTCCTCGAAACGGACCGTGCCCCATCTTTCAACGCCGACTCTTGCGTGCGTTCATTGTGTGCTGTTTCGAAATCGGGCCAATCGTGCTCGGTACCAACTGGGGCGACTGTGTAAGCTGTATTAGCGTATGATGATTCCCCAGTGGCAGCGGTGGTGTTCGGCTGCTCACCCAAATATCGCGATCCCGGCCGCGCTGGTCGCTTTTCACTGGAGTGTTTAATTGCATGTTAAAATGCCTCATCTAATCAATTTCCGGAGCCCTCTACTACGACATCTCTCATAACCATATCGTGGTTCCGGGACGCTAAGCTACTTGGCTTCGTGTCACGGAGGGACACACAGTGGTTACATTGGTGTGGAACCCGGCGAAGAAGCTTCTACAACAAACAGTTTTACTAACCTTATTTTCAAAATTTTCGTAGATGTATTTACATTAGCATTCATTCGGAACTTGGAAAATTGCTTCACGCTTAGGCAGTGGAATGTCAAAATGCAGCACATGGTCCTCCTGCTTTCTATTACTTCCCCTCAAGTGATTAGATAATGCTTCGGTGGTTTAGCTATCGCAGTTGCACATCAACGCTCATATAGAGCCAAAACTGATCAATGTGGAAATCGATACAGATTTACGTACACTAATACAGGGCGTACAATAAAACTCGTATCAGTTCGATTGCCAGCTGCGCGTTTCGAAAGACAGCTGACCGCAAAAACGCGAGGGTAATTTGGCTCGAGGGTGAACTTAACTGAGCGGGTCATACCGAAACAGATTTTAAGTTAATCTGAAGCCTCACTGTGTTCCCGCTCGCCAAGTCGCGTTTTGGGCTGTGGTTCACTGCTTGATCGGCGGCGGCTACGCCTTATTTGTAATGAAGTTATTTTGCTTGACACGTGGAAACCACTCACGCAGCAGCGGGGGATCGCGAAATAATTTTGCCACCTGGAATTCTTGAACGTGCGCCTGGATTACTACTGTTATCGGATATCACCCCGATTGAAATGCGGCCGTCGTTGAACTTGGTAGCGCTTCATCTAAGCGTCTAGGACGGGCGGGTTGCGACACCATTGTTGGAAGGCAGTATTCAGAACCATGAGCTCGGTTGAAATGAGTGCAATGGATTGTGCCGAGCCCACTATACGGCCAAGTATGCCACACAAGGCGTTCGGCAGCTTTTTGTCATGTTGGTTACACGAATTAATGCTGTAGTAGGCGTTTTAGTATCATCGGTGCTTGCCTTGAGGCGGGATTTGCCTGTAGAATCGTTTGTGCAGCTTGCTTTTTCCTCGGCAAGCAAGCAGCGTTTCTCTGCTGTAGCTGGGAAACCCGGAAGCAGCTGTCGTTCCGGTTGGGATAATCGGCGGACGTTGTTTGATCGGGCCGACACGTAACCCGTGTAGGGGCGAGCTGTCTAATGTGCCTGATCGTAATTGTGGGTGTGTGTTAGTAAGTAAATTACGCGTGTGTGATAGTTAGGCAGCGACGCTTATCCAAGTTGTGGAAGGATCGATAACGAAGAACGAGAAGTACCCAAGGCAAGAGAGCTACACCCGCTGTATCGAAGATTTGAAAAAAAAAATTAAAAAAAAATCTTCGTGGTTTTATGCACAAAAACTGCAGTGCTATTTTTAGGCAGCCACACTTGTGTGGAAAGTGGGGAGGGAATGGGGACTATGGGATAACTTTCACCATATCGGGTGAACGAACACATGAAATTAAGTGCACTACTGTTTCTGCATGTCACAGTGGTTCACTAGCACGTAAGAGTACTCTTTGCTGAGCGCGACGTGGTAATACGCTGCAGTCAAATGAAGGCGCGAATTAAGCCACGTACGCCGGCGCAGGCCTTCTGATTACTGCAACGTGTTGTCAAAACCTGTGTATTCCGTCCCCTGGTTTATTGGTGGTACGGAGTTGCCGCAGTAATTGAAACTGTATTGAGTGTCTCCCGATTGACGTCCTGATGCACGAGATGAGCGGGTCCGCATTGATAGGTGCGCAATGTGAGGACACTCGTCGGAATTTTCCGGGAGGCTTTCCGCCAGTTTATTTCGAGTACATTAGGTAATGCAACATTCAATCTTCGTCATGACAGAAAGCTGCTCGACACTTGCTGGCGGACCCGAATAACGTCTCTATATTCCGTTCAATGGAACATCGACGTATGCGTACAAGGTAGTTTTACAGCGCTTGTACGGTGTCGTCCTATTCATGTGCTCCGTTTTGTTCGCGCAGTTTTTTTTTTTAAACAGTGTGCCATATGCATTTGCCTTTTGTGATACACCCGTACCAACTATCTCGGCCAACCGTAGTTTCAGGGCTTGCAAAGCTTGCACCGCAGCAACGATATATCACGCAAGTCGTTGAACTTTCACGAACGAATCGTGCTCCACTATCGCACCTAAAGGGCCTTTTTTTCAGAAGACTAGCCCGGGCATGCTCAGCGGCGATGACGCCACGTGTGGCAAGATTCGAAGGCGTCACTGGCTGGCGCCATTTGCAAATTATTACGAATTTACCTGGCCCCGCGATTTTCTACTCACTACTCCGGAGGCCACTGACCCCCATTTCGGCGATCTCCGCT